ATCCCCTTAATACTTTTTAGTTGTTATTGTGAATGTTGTGAAGTTCAGAGATATATCTTAATCAAGGCTGTCATTTGTCCAGTATCAATAATTAGAGCCATGGAAATTCCAGTCAGTCTTTCATTAGCAAAAATACCTGTACACTGATCTACTACCTTTGTAACATTTCACCCACAAGGATGCAAGCAAAAATATTTCTCTAATGTTGACATTACTCATAATGTCCGTTTAACGAAATTTTTCACGGCATCACATTAGTCTGGATTGTAGTGCTATTCTGCATATGATCGTCATTGTTAAGAAACTGATCAATTAACCCTCCACACCTTAACAACAGCATCCATTTTCTCCATACTGTTCTCTACACATTTCCTTTGGTACTGAAAAGGAGAATTTGCTTAGCAATCACAGCTTCTTAGCTAGGCTGGCAATGATTTGCTTTATATTCTCATGATCTTAATCAATGATTCAGAACTATTACTGTAAGGAGAAAATAGATGCTGATCAATCTTTGGGTTTGACGCGTGAAGTAATTTTTGCTTGGTGAGAAGTAAACTTAAAGTGACTCCTGTAGGCTGCGCCATGTTTACTCACCCATTATGTTCCATCCAGTCTTGAAGAAATACGAGCGAAGAGCATACAGCTTCACAATGATCTCCATGAAATAGATAGCAAGGAAGACGTTGTCGAGAGCCGATAGATACCAACCTGCAATTGATCATGGAAGAGGTATTCAAACTGTTATTGTATGAGATCGTGAATTAAAATTGCTTGTCGTCAGTTTCTTGAGTGCTTAGTGGCTGAGAAAATCGGTGTTCGTTCTCTGTTTAAAATCATCTAAGATGTTTACCACATTTATAGATCAAAAGGCTAGTGTGATTTCAAATTTAATTGTCAGTCTGATGGCGATGAATAACGATTTGGTCAAAATGGTACAACAAGAATAGAAAATTAATGAAACATATCTAGAGGAAAGGTTCAGGTAGACTTGGTCGAATAAATGCTGCTGTAAGTTTAAAAGATTCCACAGTCACATTCTGCAGTCTGGTGTTTATAATCTTCACAGAACTTAATCTGTCGGAGGAGCAACTGAACTGGGAAAACGATTATTTTTCAGTCTTAAATAATTACTGTAGGAAAGTCGAAACCATTCATCACAGATTCAATATTTTTCCCCCGACAAGCATCACAATAAAGGAAAACCAATATCCAAAGCGATTTCACTGCAATTTTAAAAACTTTACCTGCTTTCACTGCAAATGCTTCGTCAGTTTGAATCACCAAGATCACTGTGTTGAGAAGAATTACGAACAGGATGCTAACGCTAAAAATTCTTGACTCTGTCAGCTCATAAATAAACATCCGAAACTCTCCAGCGTTTTCCAGAGTCTTTGGCATATGCTGGTGATGCTGAGCCTTCGTCATAATGAAATTACTCCCTTCACACTTACAGCGAATAGAGAAACGCAGTCATCGCTCACCCGGCGGCCATTTTGAAAAACTACGTGTGAAGGGAATGGTGGGAAAAATTAAAGCAATGATTTACGATTGGTGTTCACCTGTCAAGCAATCAAAGACGGAAAAATGGCATCTCTGAAATAAGAATGCATGCAAAGTTCGCCTTATATTTGCCACGTTGAAAACAAAGATAATTTGTTTTGATGAAAATCAAGAGCTTCTTTAGTTGGTGATGTTTTACGTATATTGAAGAAAGGCCATTACAAATTTCAAGTCTCTTCTAGTTTCTATTGATGAGGTAGAATTATTCACCAAATTCTTCAAAGAAATAAATATATCAGGCCCAGTGCAGAGATACCATTTTTTTGGCAATATGTCTTTTTTTACCAGAAATGTTTCCATCCACAAACTAGCAAATATTTACCATAGTGCATCTCTGATCCCTTCCTTGTGCAAGGGACATTGACAAGATGCTGCACCATTAAATAATTTTCAGCTTAGGTGACAGCTCCCTTGGCCCACATTTTAATGTTGCATGAATTTGAAACTAGTAATGAGTAGAAATTTAATTAAAAATAGCTTTATCTAAAAAGAGACTAATGGGAGCCTGCCAAGTAAATCTATTTGTTGTTGCAAAATGCCATTTAGTATGATGAGTAAACTGGATCAGTACATTTGAGGCTGCAAGGAACAATGGAAACTTGTCTGATGTATATACCCAATGTTTCTTTTGCTATGGCTTGTTGTAATACATTGCATAAACAATGAGACATAAAGAAATTGGCCTTTAATAGCACAATGGATTCATTGTTTACTTTCTTTTGTAGCTTTTGTGCAGCTGAGGCAGGAAGGACAGTTATCTTGAAGAAATACAGAAACAGCAGAAGGATAGGAGCACTGTGTGGAAACATGCCTCTCAATTTGTGAAATCTTTGTACAGTATCTCTTTTTGCCATTAGCCTGGTGCCCGGCTTTAAAAAAAGTTTAGTTCATATTATGCCCAGTTTTAAACACTCAAGATGAGTGGTCATAATAGAAATTTCGTTTAATGTTTTTAACCCTATTCTTCTTAAAAGTCTTCTTCCTACTTTCCCTCATAACATTGTCTGCTTATTATTTTAGCTCTGAAAAGTTCAATTCAACAAAATCCCCTAGTTTACACATTTCTTTCTTCTCCTCACCTCTACGCTTGACAATGTATTGATACTGTAAGGAGAAGTTACTTATTGATCAGTACACTGGAGTGAAAAGAGTTACTGTTGTTAGTCCCTATCCAGAGCAAAGACAGAACTTGGTAGTACATAATGGTTGGTCCACTCTTTCTGCAGAGATCAATTGGTTGCAAACCAAAGAGGCTATACAGCCACTTTTCTGCAAGCTTGAACATTATTTTTTTCAAATTTCATGACCTTGGCTATTCTTCCCATGGACGTGGTCCTCGTTTGTTTTCCCAGTGGTCAATATCTAAATTTTCGGCGATATCCTGTTATGAGGAGAATGTGTAAATTAATAAAGCAGAATAAAAAAGTAAATTAACACAAGTCGTTATGTCTTCGTCTTCTCCTTCTTGGCATTCCTAACACATTCCCAATGTTGACTTCACTGTAGTCCTTCTTTCTGTTTTTAAGGCTAAAATTTTCAGTGGTGATATCAAGACAATGCATTTTCAGTCAGTTACTATTTCGCACAAGAATATCTCTTCATGACAAGTGCAAATTCAATGATCAATAAAATAATAGTATTAATTTACCTTGTATGCCTCTTCGATTAAGACTTCTCTTCCCTTGTTGGGTAAAGCTTTAAGAGCTTCTTCCCTATTCAACTACACAGAAAAAAAATATTCTTTTATTCACATGAAATTATTTGATACTTCTAGTCTATAACTTAATGTTAAAGTAAACTGGAATAAACTCTGGCCAGTTGGGCCATTGGACTTGAATGCTTACTCTACCTTTATTTATCTTGGTATTACTAACATTCAGGTATGTTTCACTTTCCTTATTGTTATCACTACTATTATTATTATTATAATTATTATTACTGGCTAAGAATATATGAAAGTTGTATATTTGAACTGTGGATAAAGATGTGAATATGAAAGTGATCCTCGCAGTAATATACACTACTTCAGCAGTAGTGAAAAAAAGGCCTAAAACAAATTCAGGCCTGTATGGGATTTGAACTCATGACCTCTGTGATACTGGTGCAGCGCTCTACCAGCAAGCCAACTGGGAGCTGGTCAATATGTGGGTTCCAAATAAACCCGTGAAGTGATGAATAACCGGCTAAGAATATATGATAAATTATTACTATGATTATTATTATTATTATTATTACTTGGCTTTGATACATCATGGCAATATCCAAATGTTCTGGGATTTTAATAAACTTTAGCCATGAATGATTCCCTGAATGTAAATTGGAAGAGAGGTATGATTACATAAATGTCTCTTTCAGCCATCAACGGGAAAAAGATATTGAGGAAAAACATTAAGAGTGGTAAAAAGAGACCAGGCGACAAGCAGGTTTGCAGATGTATGATTTCAAGTTTGACGAGAAAATGAGTCCTTAAATCTATCAGCTTACCCTGTAAGTCTTTTCATCCCGGCGCTTAATTTTGATCTCAGTGAATTCCTTCAATGCAAACGATCCACCAACGATCAGACCCTTAAAAAATTCATACAAGAAATAATTATGATAAGCTGTTCGAAGTGACGTCGTAATTTTCCAACTCTTAATAACTCAAAAGATTACATAAAATGGATAACTCAATGACAAATAAACAATCATATTAATATTAAAAAGAGTTAAGATTCTCTAGGACATATCTTTATGCAGGCCCTGCTCGTAAGCAGAGCGTGATCCACTTACGATCATAGGGACACCAAATTTTACAAACTGAGCCGCCATATTGAGCGGCTGGGTAGCCCGGCATTCTTGATGGAAGTTACGCTTAGTGGCCGCCTCTGGTAGTCAAAATGGCGGCTGTATTCAGGAGATGTGTGTCCTGCCTGAACTTAGGAAAACCTTTAGTTTTAAGGAAGAGTGGAAATTTACCGAGTTTTTCAGGTTCTAACAAAGGTAAGATATTTTTTTCAGCATCATGAATTAAAAACATTTTAGAGTGTCAAATGATCGCACACATTTTCAAGGTTTTTCTAACCCCTTCGAATTTCAGTCACTTTACACAAAGTTGTTGAATTGGTCAGCTCTCCCTATAGATTTTGCGATTAACATTTTTTGAGCAAAGGAGGGATTTGTCTCAAAATCCATGAATCCACCAGACTTTTTATCTCACAAGCTGTGCTTATTTATCTTTTATTATCATCTGTTATAAAAGATTCCTTTTCAGGGAGGTTTTGATTGTATTGATCTTACATCTTAGCATCCACATTGGAAACGTGTTCAGATCACATATCTTGACT